TTAAGTTGTAAATTTGGTTTGTGATGGGTGTAAACTAGGTCAGCATGAAACTTAATTATTTTCATTATTAAACGAATATATTAGAGGTGGTCACACAATAGTGGTACACATGTGTGTGCTTAGTTTGTTCTTTATCACAAATATTTTTTTAGAAATTAATATTCGATTAATGGAAAAAGAAAAACGTACATTTACGGTAAAACAGAATTTAGAACCGATTCATAAATTAAAGTGTCGAGTACTGTTTACTTCATCACACTGTTGTGACGAATATGGCGAGCATAACGAAGTTTACGCTACGAAAGATGTATTTTCATGCAGTGTCTGTGATAAATTTGCTGTTTCGTACGTAAGCAAGGTTCACGCTGTGGTTCAAAATATAAAACTTGTTATTTAATTAACTTCTGTTTTCATGTCGACTCTATTTTGCGGAATTTTTAATTTTGCAGAAACCGCCTTCCCGCAAGTAGTCTGTTATTTGGAGGATATACTGTGTATCCCAATTTCGAATTTCATAATTTCACTTTGAAAAATGCAAAAAATTAATGTCATCAGTTGCACAGCTGTGATCTGCCACATCACTATGAAAGCGGTAATTTGCGGTGAATGACTTTTTTTTAAAAGTATTCGGGATCCAACAGGGCCTTCACATTTTACCTGTGGTATCTGAAGTAAGTTGTACGTATTTGTTTCCAGCTTTGCTTGAAGATGTATATGATTCCAGGGGGACAAGATTTTGTCTGGACCTGCCACTTTTCATTAACCAAAGACTTTCGCCTGTTTGCGTTTGTGAATATGTTTCGCAAAGAGACAGACTTTGTAAAGTTCATATTCATGTAGTTTAATAATATGATAAAAATGAACTAAATTATGCCAAACTACTATGAGAACCTCCACGATTTTGTATGTATTTTAGTGTGCAAGTGTCTGTATGTCAGTATATGTATGGTTTGAACAGAAAGTTATTATTGTTATTAATCGAAACTCATCAGCAACGTTCAAGGGAAAAAGCATGCATTATTTTGGGGTTGCCATATTTGTGAAATTTTCATGTGTATTACCGTTTTTATGCATGTTTATCCACAGTTTTATAATCTGCAATTGGTTTTCCGTTTTTAAGGGGATTTATCAAATATCCACGCCATAAGGTCAATTATCGAAAACCGGATGTTCGACTGAACGATTTTGACGAGGTGTACAATTTTCCTGAAATCCGCGGCAGCTTGAAAATGCAGGCAGCAAGGTGAGTCCCCCGCAATGACTTTTTGTTTCTGGTACACTCTGTCCTATTCAACCTCGCTTCATCCGTTCATTGCAGATGCATGGACTGTGGTGTTCCTTTCTGTCAGGGGAACACCGGCTGTCCGCTGGGCAACATAATCCCGAGATGGAACGATTTGGTTTTCAAGAACAACTGGCGCGAAGCGTTGATTCAGTTGTTGCAAACGAACAATTTTCCAGAGTTCACCGGCAGAGTGTGTCCTGCTCCATGTGAGGTATTTTTCTGCATGTATTCGATGTAACGAAACTTGGCAGTTTTGTGCTTCTGGCGAAAACCACCTCTTGCGTTTTGTCCTTATCACTTGAATAAATCAAATCAGTTTATTTCCTAAATATCACTTGAAACTACCACAAACCAGCATTTCAAGAATTGCATATCCTTCTATCTGATTTATTTTCGTCAGCGGTCAGGCAACAGTCGCAATCCACTCTTCTCGATATTGTGCTCTTTGCTTCTACCATTGACCAAATGCCTTCGTCATTTTTTCTTCCCAGCGTTTTGGTGAATGACCGAGCGGACGTGTGTTGCCAAGGGGGATCCAGTTGGTTATCCAAGATGTTATCCTTCAAACTGGCTGCATGACTAGCTCACTGTTTTTTCAGCATATAGGAGGCAGCGAATACATCCTAAAATCATGTCAGACACCGAACTGTCGATCTTCGAACATGGATCTTGTAGATTTTTTCATCCCCGTTTGCGTTAGTGTTAGTCTGTCTTTCTCAGCATTAGTGGTAAACGAGTCCACCGCACCATAAATCGTAGTAGACAGGACAGCGGAGTCGAACAGTTCCTTCTTCGTAGGGATGGACAGTCAGCGCCGATATTTTAATGTGATTGAAACTTCCCTTCTATTTCTTCTGCTGATCCCATTGCTAGTGTGGTTATTCCTGTCTATTAGGTAGCAGATGTTTACGTAGCTAGTGACTTTTTTTCAACTTCTTCGCCTTCAGTGAAGATGGTACTCGCGAGACATTACTCGCTGCGCATCCATCTTTCCTGGAGTTGTTCATCTCCAGGCAGAATACGTATTGATCCTTCTGCTACTGCAGCATGCTTTTTTAGGTTCCGTCTAAGTTAACGCATCCACCTTAGTTTAGAAGATAAAGAGGGATTCCAGCGCGTAAAGCTGCGGAAAGATGGTGTCTCTTTGACATATTTCGCTTTGCATATTAATTCGACACGGTTCTTCAAGCAGCGTGATGTCGTTAGAGGTGTCATTATTCCGTTCCTCAATCAGATCGACGTTGGTGCCGTAGTCGTGCAAGGCGTTCAGTGTAGCATTCTGCTTCATAGAATCGAACTCTTCTGAAGTCGATGAATGCGCAGCTCAGGCGTAATTGGTGTTCCCTGCACTTTGCTGTTAGCTGCTTCACGACGTGGATGCGGTCAATGTTGGAGAAACCTGTCCGGGAACCCTCTTGTTCTCAACTACTAAGCAGTTCTCTGTTTTTCGGGATGAGGTTGAGGATAATTTGTGTAAAGACCTTGTTGAATTATGAGAGGAGAGTGATGGGTCGATAGTTTTGGACATCTTCAGCATCATATTTCTTGGATCGAAGAATCCTCGAAGAGCTCTTTCACGTTTCTGTCTTCTTCTTCAGACAGATATACTATGTACATTTCTCAGCATTTCTCGGGATCATTCCTCCTTACTAATATGTTCCGATCTTATGTCGTCACTGCCACTCTTGATATTCTTGATTGCCCATTCTACTTCATCCGGGGTGACATCGGGGACCGTTTCCAGTTCAGCATGCAGCAGTTTAAATTTGCTTTCGAGGAGCAGAGGTTGTTGTAGAACCTAATGTTTTCGAGCGACAGCGGCCTGTTACTCATGTTCGTCCGTCGTTCTTTTGTGCTGCAAGAATCCGCTTTGTTAGGAGCTTGCCCTTGTCAATTTCTTTCATGCTATTCTTCTTTAATGAATCCTCTTTTGACTTCGTTCTCCCGTACTCGTGATAGTCCTCCCAAATCTTTTTCCATGTTTCTTTGCACAACTCGATGTACTCGTCGTAAGTTGCCCATCAGTTTTCATTTTGGCACTTGTGGTCAACAGCTGCCTCATTGTATGGTTGATGCATTGTTTCCTGGTCGACATCGCTGCCTGACTGGATGACCGGTTGGTAGTTTGGGTAGTTTCGATGAGATGTTTGTAGACTGCATCGATGCCTTTGCCCAAGATACCTGTTGCGAGGATCACCTGACGAAGCTTGTCTGCGAAAATTTTATGATCTGATGTTCTTGCACTGGTCGGTGGTCTTTAAGTTATTCTGACTTGATCTTCTTTAACGACATCATTTGTGACTGTGGGTCGGAGCAATTTGCGGTCTAACCCGTGCATAAGACATTTTCCCCAACGACTGCTACGTCTGTCTCTTACCCGCGTTGAGTCCATCCGCTCATTGTGTCGATCTGGTTAACGATTATTCCATTAGGGCTCCTTCTTCTCATTGCAGCTTCTCAGCTTCTTCAAACCTGGTATTCATGCTGCGGACACGTTTATTTTCAACAGGCACTTGAAGGTGGGAGCCACGTTCGTTTCGCTCTCCACTTGTGAATAAATGTTGAGTTTTAATCTAGTATCATTAACTTCATGCTAATTTGACTCGTCTTTCTGAGCTGTGTTTGATTTGAAGGCGGCGTGCTGTTTGGCGATCAGCGAAGACCCTGTTACGATCAAGAATATCGAGTGCTCTATCATAGAATATGCGTTCGAGAAAGATTACATCAAGCCGGAGCCACCTGCTTTCAGGACCGGTAAACGTATTGCGGTTGTCGGCAGTGGTCCGGCCGGTTTAGCGGCTGCAGCACAACTTAACAAGGTTGCGATATAATAACTTTATGATTGGTGTAAAGTTTAAAGTGCTATTTATTTTCACCATATTTTCTGACGCACAGTGCACAGATTCATCCTCTTAAAGATTGTTGTTTAAGGTCTTCCTACTGTACACATCTACATATCTCTTTAACGAGTATTTGCAGTTCTCGAAAATCTTCGCGTCTTACTTTCTGGAGGTAGACACTTAGTCAGTGACAGAAATATGCGGATATGTTCGTTACGAATTCTTTGAATTTGGAAAAGATTTCTCAAGTCTGTATCGAAGTGGTTATATGAAAATGATTATATATTCCCTTTATTATTGAATGACAGTCTAGTTATAATGAGCGCAGTGCACGTAATTTGTCGTGTCATGGTCATTGTTGACATTTCCTCTTGTCTCTCACCAGTATCTTAAAGTAAATGGGGTGGTAGTATTCGGGCTTGGTGTACAGATCGTTTGCAAAAGGTGGATTTTTGGGATCCCAGAGGTCTGTGTCATAAAGCCGTTTTGTGCAGTTTTTCCTTGTGACTACCAGCGTATGATACGTTTGAATACAACTCAGAGTAATAACTTCCGATTTCACATTTGTAAAGTGTCAGTGATCGAGTAGAAAGGAATTTTTTAAAACTGAGTATTCCACTAGTGGTATTAGTCCGTATAAGCGTTGGTCTCCTGAGACGGAGATTCTCACATCTTTCTCAGTCAGTGCACATCCAACTGAAGTTTTAGATTTTCCCAACACGGATATTGGGAAGATTCTGTAGATCGAATTATGTATGTAATAACATATTACTATATGGCATCATAGTATATTTACAGTAACGCTATTCAAAGTTTGTAACACCCTTTACGAGATGACAGCATAAATCGGATTTATCATATACGCATATTCTTTAACATTACGGATCATGCCCGACTCGTCGTTAAGGAATGGCGTAATATAAGACTAAGAATGTTACAGTGTACTGTTTAGGATATTGCTAAATTCTCTATTTTACTTTGCGCCAGTTTTAAGACGGATCGAGCATGATCGAAACATATGGAATATACGTTTAATAAATTCGATGGCGGTGTCATTCCATAAATGATTTTTCTAAATTTTGAAGTGAGTTCCCGCATTAAAGCAATCAACTCGTTAAACCTGTAAAATTCCTAATTCAGTGAGTCAAAAGGAAATTTTGAATAATTGAAGCCTATTATTTTAAATTCTACAATACGAATAAAAGTCGAACTCTATTAAATAAAAAACAGAAAGAGGAAATGCCAGAAATTTGCATACATTGCCTTAGAATATGACAGTAAATCCAATGTAACTAGAGTGTTTAAAAGTTGAACAGTTGAACATAAAATTTATTTTTCAAATGGAGTAAACAGTTTAGAAATCACTGTAATCAATTGCGTACTTAATGCATTCTACATGGTAGTCATAAAGATCACTAAATATCAGTAAAGAAAGAAAAAGCATTTAAAATACGGAGTAGTTCGGCCATGATTCAACTCTTTAAAACTCCGTTGTACAAAGTCTTTAGATGTTTTACGCATAGGGCAGTTATCTCTTTAAGCGAATAGTACATGGCATAAGCAGTATATAGACACATAAACGACACCCCTAGTTTTACAGATATTATTTTCTCATAAACTATATTTCGAATCATTCAAAACTAAATTTATTCATACATATAACGCAAAATTTTTCGAGTTTCTTAGTATCAAGGTTTTCATATTATCCTCATGCTTTTGCATTAAATTACCTTATTCGAATTTATTGTTTTTCGTCATGTTGTTTATTTCATATTTTGTTTCACATTTAATATTATTCGAATCGTTCCCAAATTTCAGCTAAGCTTTTACACGAAAGAAAACATTCCACTGGTGGTATCTCTTCTGCGGAAAACATCGCGCGTATAATTTGCATATTTGCATATATTATTTCAGATTTTCCATATTCTTATTTTGGACAGTTTTCCTGGCTGAATTATCATCGCCTTATTTCTATGCATTTCCTTAGATGAGCTGCTCAGTTTGTGTTGTGTATTATTATAAAAACTGAAAACTAGTCTTGTTTACCTTCAATATGTTAATTATTTTCTCTGGTCCAATTATTTTTGCCATCAGAGTGTAAGGCGTTCATTATTGAATTATTTGATATACAAATAATTTATTTTATGTGGAAGAATTTTACTGCAGTGTTTATTTTTTTTTCAGTCTTTATTTAATACGACTGGTGGGCATCATGTTGATCATAATACGTAATTACAACAAATATCAAAATGTATTTGTATGGTAGATTGATGTTAAATTGCCATAGCCTTCCAAGACCAGATTTAATGTTATATTGCTCTTAGTTGCCTAGAAGAGGATTTGAGCAGGGCAAGTATACGTGGTATTTCAGCACTTGCAGTATCAGATATCC